ATCGTCTCCTACCATTCAATTTTACTATCAAACACTTAGCGGGAAAAGATATGGGTTTTACAGACTTAATTTCAAGAACTCCTTCGGGTAAAGCAATTCCCTCATCACACTACGACGAAGAATTTGTAGTTGCTACTACCAAAAAAATATATAGTGCACTCAATCCTTCGGATAATGAAAATCCATTACGTAATTCAATTAATTCGATTTCGGAAAATTCCCATTACATGAAATTACGAAATCACGTAATAATCACAGCATTGAATTTCGTCAGCTCTTCCATTTCAATCTGCAATCAAAAACATTATAGAACAGAACTTTGTAATTCTAAATGTATTCCTTCGGATTTCTCAAACACTGATTTTACTAAAATTATCCTTTCAAATTCAGCCTTTATCTATTTTTTAATCCTTAACAGTAGCTTAATTAGTAATCCTTCGGATCTCAAACTTATAAATAGTGTAAATATGTCAAATAACCAAATTGTAGTAAATCCTTCCATTTCCGGGATACAGGTCTCTATCGATTTTCAAATTTCATCAGAACACAAGAAGTTAGTAACTAAATTCCGAGAAAATCTCAAGTTACCCGAAAGACCTTTGGATTTAAATACATTATTCAATGCAAAATTGGTCGCTTTATTAACGGAAGATGATGAATTATTAAACCCAATTGTTAAAGCTCTACAGAAAAAAGTAGATAACATCAATGCAAATTCCCGTTATCTACACCAATTTTCGAAAGAACTTCATGAATCCGACGGACTATTATATATGGATGGAAAACTAGTTATTCCGTTTACACTTAGAAACGCCGTTTTAAAAACATTACATGAATCTCACCCTGGCCAATTCGGTATGAAATACTTGGCACAATACATTTGGTGGCCACACATATATCGACAAATTTACTTCCACGGGATTAATTGCACACAATGCACGCAAACCGGTAAGAACATAAAAATCATCATTCCAACTTCACAAATTAGTGAACTTCCCACCTTATTTGAACCTAATGAGGAAATAAATCTTGATTTTGCCGGCCCACTAGATAACAACTGGGGAAACAATAAATACATCTTATTGTGTATAGACCGTTTTTCAAAATTCCCTTCAGCAAAAATTACATCTTCAACGTCATCAAACACAGTAATTGAATTTCTTCAAGATTATTTTTATCTCCATGGGATTCCAAAATCTATTCGGGTCGACCACGCATCCTGCTTTACTAGTCAGGATTTTAAATTATTTTGCAATTCTCTTAATATCAAACTAATATTCTGTACAGTTGGGGACCATCGTTCTAACGGTCTTGTAGAAAAACTTGTTCATACTGTAAAAATCAAATTATTAGCAATGTCACTGGATCAACAAAAACCCACATTACAAACCGCCATTTCGAAAATCATTTGGAATCTACGATCTTCCTTCCAATCTAAAATTAAATGCTCACCGTTCGAAATACACTTTAATAGAAAACCGAACACGATCTGGAAGCAATTGGCATCTAATAATTTATCCGGTGGATTTTTAGACAAAGGGAAGTCGATCTTAAGCAGAGAAAGGGCCCTCGACTGGAACGCTGACGATCGGGTAGAGGACGGATACAAAGACTCCCTCATACCGAAAAAGAACCAGTCACCATTGGAGAAAGGCTATGATTCAGACCTTCCCACTACTTCAAAACCTCAATCAGCCCGAGTGTCCTTAAACAGTCCGTTTAAAGGTAAATTACTACGGAAAACTAACAGAAGTATAAACGGAAATCCCTTCTATAAACAACTAGGTCAGAAAATAATAAACTCAACAAAATCCACGGTTGAATTATCCGACGGAAAAATTATAAGAAAATCGGACATCGCCATTCCAAAGTCTAAATCTTCTACAATTCGTTCATTCAAAGGAAATATCTCCTTTCCTTTTTTCTCTAACGGTGATTTACAAGTAGGTCCAAGAAAGTCATACAAATCGAAGACACAACAGACGCGAAAACCAGACACTAAGTCAGGAAGACAAACAGTGTCGCTCACCCCGGTCACCACCAGATCTAGAGGAACGAACCAGCCTTCAAAATCCAACAAATCGAAGAAAAACCAAAATAAAGCCTCGACGTCGAATACTGGATACCTAGCAGGTGACGAATCAATGTTTATTCCGTCGGATACGTCGGACATTAGCGATTGGGAATGGATTGCGGGAGGTTTCCCATGTAGAGAAATGATAAGAAAACGCTTCATTTCGGATAACGACAATTTTAAAAAAGAAACTACCTCATCATTAGACCCTAAAACATATCAAACTAATATAAAACCTGAGATTTTAGACGAACAATCTCAACCCTCGGACACAGCGGAATGCCCAATTAGTATAAAACCAGCACTTCAAACTACCTCACATCCACCTGACGAACCTTCTACGGCTACGACAACGGAGCCGCCAAACATTCCTTCGGATTGGACAAAACCATTGGTGGGAGAAAAACCGGTCGATTTCCCAGTTTTCGAAATAGAGGACTCCTCAGACGAAATTGGAACCAGCGAGGATAGACATCCTAAGGAAACTAATACCACCGGTAACGAACTTATTTTAAGACGTTCAAGCCTAAATTCTATGGTAAGCGATATTTCATAGATACTATAGATGAGCTAGAAAACCAACCAGGCTCCGCTAATAATCCTATATCTCTGGACGAGGATGACAGCTCGAGCTCCCCCACACAAACTTTCAGAGAGAATCCCTTGGTTAATCAGACCAACATTTGCAACACACTACCGGAAGACAGTACACCCGACCTAGCTTACACCCAATCTCCTGATCGATTCTCCATCGCCTCTACTGACGATTCTCTGAGAGATGCCGTGAACTGTTTTGAAAATTACATCGACTTAGATAGTGAAATTTTCAACGCCGAGCTGGAAAAATTTATGGAAGGGGACAGCTAAATTCAATCAAATTTTAAAACTCACATTTAGTCATTTATAATCTGTACTAGTATTTTGTCTAAAGCGCAATTAGTGCTTACTTAGCTGTAACTACGGATTACGATCCGCCGGATTTAGGAAATTTATTATCCTCTATAATTTAGTCATTCCTTTGGAGCATCAAAATGACATTTGTTATACTGTGCAGTATTTAAAATTTCATTTTGTCTGACTTCTCGAGAGGGAGAAAAAGGGATTGATAACATGTTAGGTATCATGGCGCTTAGTAACCACTAAGGGGAATGTTGTGAGTCTTACCATTTGTTTTATTTCACTAATTACTTTAAAGTATCTTAACTGGTTAATCTTGATTTGACCTTGCTATCTTCATTCTCTCCGACGGAGAGAATGACCGCTCACTTTTTAATGTTTTAACTTAGAGATTAATTCACTTTTTAAACATATCTTATTTGTAACTAAGTAGAATTAACCGTAACAAAGGAACATTTTATCATGGTGTATGCTTTCAGCATGATACAAACAATTGTCAAACGCGTATAAGCTATTTCAGATCAAAGCGAGTTGCACACTCCCGGATCTTCCGCAAAAACTTAGCAGCTAAAACATCTTTCTAAATCTGAATTCAGTATTCATTAAATGCTACCATAAATCCACCTTCTTCGAAAGTCCGGCTCAACAAAGTTTTTCAAATTAGGATAAAACCTTAAAACCACTGACAGCCTTTGAAAATCTTGAAAATAGTTTTACTTTTGAGAAAAATGTGAAATTTGCTCAATTTATTGTGCATTATTACCCCGTACACTATAGTCGTCCGTCCGAAAATGACACATTTCAAAATTTTTAAGGTAACAATAAGACATGTGTGTGCGTGTCATTATCAATCTCAAATTGGTATTTGCAATCAATCAGATATGATTAGGGGCAGGGGCGGATCTAGGCTTTTCTCGAGGGGGGGGGGCGGATTTTCAAAAAATTTCCAAAATTTTGACGACCTTTTTTTTTTTAGGTCGACCAAATTGATTTTCCGAGCTCTCCCGAAGCACCGTTTTGCCCCTATTTTGGCAAAAATTTCTGCGCCGCAGCCAAATTTTTGAAAAAACAGTCAAAAAACCGTGTTTTTTTTTGGCGCGCGCTCCCCCTCAAAGTTAGTATATATTGGCGCCAAAGGCGCCTTTAGAAAAATTTTTTAGGGTCGGTCGGCCAAAACTGGATTTCTGAAAAAGTATCAAAGGGGGGACCCTTTGGGTCGGCAGGGGGTCGAATCCCTGAAGGGAAGCGTCCGCCCCACCCCCCCCGCCCCTCCCCCTTACCCCCTTAATCCTCCCCTGATTAGGGGTAAACTATAATCGTTTTCAACTTCAGCTCACGTCATTCCTTATAACAGCTTAAGAATTAAAAAAAAAACATTGTGTAAAAAACTTCCGAGCACAAATAAACATCTTATGAAGACAACGATAAAATTAGGCAAAAAAAACAAGACTGTTAGTTTCCACCGCCCTTTCTTGGCTAGAAAACTTTCGACAGATTTTTTTTCACCATTTTTTGTCCGAAATTTTTTTTTGACAAGCTGCGTTGCTTACAAAAAGAAACATTTCTATTTAGATCAAAAAGCTTGCTTCATTTCCTCCTGGAAATTTTTTCGAGTTGGATTAATTTGCCGTTTAAAATCATTACGCGTTAAATAATCTTAAATCAGCCGTTTTCGAAACCTTATAGGTTTAGAAAAAATTGAATACTTACTTTAATTACAAATGGCTAGTTAGTATTATTAAACAAGTGTAAATAGCGCAACTTTTCTTGTCTTAGGAAATCAACTTTTTTCACATTGTAGAAACTTTATCGTAACAAAACTCAGGACAGAAGTCAAAAACTGTCCAAAAAACATCCCACTGAGCCCAAATATTCCATTACTTGTTTCTTCAAAAGTCGAAAAAATAATAATTGAGTATGTGCGTACAATTCAATTAAACTGGACGGAAATTAAGATTTCAAACACGCAATATGAAGCGCATAGGTAAAGAGCTAAATTCATCTAAAGGAATTGTAAATATGAACATACCTCGTGAATTCCACTCGCTGGATGTCCTGTGAAAAAAGATAAATTTAGAAGCCATAAGTAAGATTCGAAGATGCTTGAATTTGTTTATCTCTTACCAATCAAAATGACAGGAAGCAGATAAAAGAATGCAACCCAGGATAGTCTCGTCATCGTTCAGAAGCAATCAATGAGTTGGGAAGCCTGAAACTGTACAGTTTGCGACAAGATGACGGCTGTTCAAATAACTAAGAATGTTCAGATCGCAGCATTTATGATAAAAGAAAACACTTGTTAAAGTTATTATGATTAAAATGGAACTGAAAAAATTAATTACCAGTTTCTTAAGTAGCAAAAACGGCATCAAAATTAAGCTTCAAGAATTGCATAAACTCAGCCTTTAACAAACCCCATTAAAAGCCAAAACCCCAATTAGGATGACTCAACTTTCTTATCTGTTAACCTACATTGCTGAAACGTCTAGCAGTAACTTAATCTTAAAAAAGCAAACACTAATAGTAAATTTTGAAGCCAAATTTTTAGTTCGAGTTATCTCCGTAGAACGATAAATGAAAGATTGCTCAGATTATAATTATAGAGAGTTGAAAAAAGTTCGGACAGACAGAATTAATTAAAAAGAGCAACTGTCTAGACATCAACGGAAATTAAAACTGAAATTAATACAACGTCGAAAGTTCATAAAGCAGAGTTTTCGCTCAAAACCGATAACCACGGTGGGAAATTGCATCCGAAGAGTCGAATACTAAACCTTGAAACAAAAAATTTATTGCTCAGGGTGGCTAATGTTTTTCTGCGATTAGTTTTCAAATTTTGAATGATTTGATCATCTTCCTTGCCGTTTGTTTTTTTTTGAGCGGCCTAATCTGTTTTTTTTTGTGTTTAAAGTAACTCTAGCTTTTGATTTTCTAACTAATTTTGTTAACAGCCTTATAGTAAAATCTGGATTTTCATCGCAGTATTTAAAAGATAGTCTAGAATAACACGCATTTTGAACTTCAAAAAATTCAAGGTTGTTCGGCCTCAGGTTTTGCGTGCAAAAAGCGTCGAAAAGCACTGATTGCTCATTTTAAATGATTCTGTCGGTCCGAACTTTTAGCTACTAATTATATAATTAGTAGCAAAAAGTTCGGACAGACAGAATTAATTAAAAAGAGCAAGTGATCTTTTTCAGGCAATTTTTGCATGCAAAAGCTAATTTTTCAGACAGAAAGTATGTCTCAATGTCACTTAAAAAATGAAATTTGCATGCAAAAATTCCTCCAAATTGGCAGATTGCTTTTTAAAATTATTTCTGTCTGTTCGAACTTTTTGCAACTCTCTATAATTAGTAGCAAAAAGTTCGGACAGACAGAATTAATTAAAATGAGCAATCAGTGCTTTTCGACGCTTTTTTGCATGCAAAATCTGAAGCCCAACAACCTTGAATTTTTTGTCAGGCCAAATTCAAAATGCGAGATCGTCGATTATCCGATGATTATGCTAGCCTAATTTTTAAATACTGCTATGAGCATCCAGATTTTACTATAAAACATTTCGACGCTTCGGATGCAATTGCCCGCCGTGGTTATAGGTTTTGAGCGAAACTCGGATCTACTTAACAATCCCCCTATTGTATCTACCAAAGAATCTCCACCCCTGTAATTGAAAACAGTAATTTCGCACAAGAGCATTGTATGTAAATTCGGATTTCGCTGCATTCTTATTGGTCGACAGTTTGCTGCAAGTAACCTTAGTAACGATCTACTCCCATTTCTTGAAATGGGGATTAATAAGTAGATCCCGTAGTTCTGCTTTCTGAACTTTCGACGTTATGTTTATTTCAGTTTTAATTTTCGTTGATCTCTAGACAGTTGCTCTTTTTAATTAATTCTGTCTGTCCGAACTTTTTGCAACTCTCTATATATTTGACAGCATTTTGCATGAAATTTAGATTTTTCAGACAACCTTGAGACAAACAATCTCTCTATTATGTAAGCTTTTGCAATACAAAACTTTTTCAAAATAATTTAATCCTTCTTTTCAAATGATTTTCTCTGGGCGGAAATTCGCCTAATATAATTAGCAGCAAAAAATTGGATCAGACAGAAATCATTTAAAAGAGAAATCTGCCAGTTTTGAGAAGTTTCTCAATTCAATTTTAAGCTTTTAGTTTAACTTGAAACACACTTTTTTGTCTAAAAAATCGGGTTTTGCATGCAAAAGTTTTCGTAAATGGGTCATTTGCTTTTTTTAAAATTGTTAATGCCAAAATGTTGGCAATATCTTTGCGGTCAACGAATCTGAACAAAATTCAGTCATCTAAAACTGCTCATTTTCTATTCGGATTTCAGTTTCTTACTGGTTTCCGCACGTAATAACGGTTAACAAAAAACTACTCAACCCAAAACATTTAAATTTTTGACCGATTAAAATGCTCAAGATAACTGATATTGACTGTAATTGGGCATTAACTATAATTGATATTGTCTGTTCTATTTTTTTGCAACTCATATTTACATAATTAATGCCAAATTGTGGGTGATATCGGTGACCTTGAGCTTCTTAGTTGGTCGAAAACAGTAGTGCTTTCTAGGTCAATTAGTTTATTTGAACAGGGTTTTCACGCGCGGAAATCAGTGAAAAAAATCAGCGTTTTATTCGTTGGAAAAACAGTGCAAAACTATTGTGCTTGTTGAGATCTATCTGCCTGTTGAGATCTAACTTCAGGACCACTACTTGGAATGTTTTTTCGTTCATTGCAATCTGCTATGCAATTTTTCAAAATCATAAATCATAATCAGCTTCAAAAACTGGGATTAGACAAAAATAATCAAACAAAGCAATCTGCAATTTTGATTAATTTTTGTATGCATTTTACTTATTGGCTTTACTTGAGACATTTATTTTGTCTGGATGGAAAAATAATTTTTGCATGCACAACTTTCTGAAACAAATAAATTTCTCTTTTTTAATGATTTCCGTTTTTTCCATCTTTTTGCAACGCGCTATATAGTGTTGCAAAAAATTTCGGACACACAGAATGAAATAAAAACAGCAATCTGCCATTTTTGAGCAAATTTTGCATGCAAATGTGATTTTTTAGGTAACATTGAAGAATAATTTGCTCTTTGCACGCAAAAAATGTCTAAAAATAATTTGCTCTTCTTAGTTCTTTTTCGATCCGAATTTTTGCTACTAATTATATAAAGTTTTTAATAGTTTAATCCGACAAAGATTTTTAATTTTTAATTATTTCGGACTTGAGACAGCAAATAGATTTAAAATTCCAACTAATTTTTAGAATTACTTTTTCATTGTCGGAAAAACTATCTGAAACAATTCCATTTTTTCAGTGTTGCCATTTTTTGAATAATTTCATGCCCACAGCTTCAAAACAATTTTCATCTAACAAAAATCTGCCATGCATTTTTTAGAGCAAAAAAGACTATTTTGAAGGTCAGATTTTTTTCAGAAAACGAAGACGTTATCCAATAAATCTGTTAAAATTGTATAAAATTTTTAACCAAATTATCGGAAAACGTTTAAGTTTTTCGAAGTAATTCTGTCCTTCAACTTGAAACTAAATAAAAATAAATTTTTGAATTGTCGATTTCGTTTTTTGTCGGCGTTTTTTTTTTGTTTTTTGTTTCGATTGAGGAATCGCTGCTCAATATAAAAATTGTTTTAAAGTTAACGACTTGAAGTCATTCAAAAAAATCTGATCTCTAATCAACGAAATCATTTTGTTATGCTCTATTGTCAATTCACGTAAAATTTTTAAATTACGTTTGCAATTTCAACTCTAATTTTTAACAAACTTATCGGCTAGCGTAATAATTTTCTGGAATATTTCTGATCTTCAAACTATATCTAAATACCTCTTTGATATTGGCCTATTAGTCGGCAATTTATTTGTTTTTTTTCTCAGAAATTGCATGAACTTTTTTTCAATTGTACTCTTGACTCAAAGAAAAAATAAAATTCTCCGAAAAAGGTCAAACATTTTGCATTGCTTTTTTGTCAGTTCAAATGCACTTTTGATAATCCGATTGCAGTTTAACGCCATTTTTTGTCTCGGGTTCAGAAACATTTCAAAAACTCGAGTTGTCCAATAATTTTGTTAAAAGCTAAATCGGAGCGAAATTAATCAACCTAAAACTGCTGATTTTGACATCGGAATTCCAAAAAACTATGCAATTTAAAAAACTGTTGTTTTTGACCGATTAAATTGTTCAAGGTCACCAATATTTTCAACAATTAGGCATTAACAAAAACAATTAAACATCGACAAAAAGGCAAACGCTAGTAATATCAGAATCTAACCTTATCAGAAGTTAGCAGTGAACCTCTAAACCCTCTACTGAATTCTGCAATATTACCCCACTTTATCTATAAGTTTGAGTACATCATTTTTGTAAGTAGTCAGATATGTTTTACTGCTAGCTAAACATAATAAAAAATATTTGACAATTTTTTGATAAACAAAAACGCAATTTCATGTTTGCGCAAACTGCATGTCATAAAAAATCAGTGAAATTTCCACGCAGTGGAACCACTTTAAGATTAGTATTTATAACCAATTATATTTTTGATAAAACTAGCTCTAAATAATATTACCTAATAACCAATCAAGACCCATAAATAACACTGACACATATTTGAAGTGCTGAAACTACTTGTAGTTTCAGCACCAGTACAATTTCAATAAATCTAAGAAATTAGTTGATTGCCTTTGGAACAAGTTCCATAAACCTAATCCGTAATATACCAGTGTACACTAAATCTATTGAGACTGGGAGATATAAGAGTAAGATTAAGATTGGTATTAGACTAAGAAGTTGCACAAATCTATCCGGCCAAAAAAAAGATAGCGTGAAGAAGAGACGGTATACCTTATCTTAAACTACATTATGAGTAAGCTACCTCTGGCTTAAACGCAGTAGCTAGGGGAAAGCAAATGTTGCACAAAGTGTGCAAAACTTTTGCACAATTTTACTTACTTTGCTAGAACCCTGCAAAATTTGTCATCCAAGTAAACAAATCAACGTTCGGCTAGATATGTGAGATCTTGAAGTGTCTTGAAAAAAGTCAAATGGAGTAAAATTTTATTTGGAAGCAAAACTGGAAAGGTGAAAACTTTCAATTTTATATGCAAGTTCTCATAAAATTTTCTCTGATGATGCCAGAAATGAAACAGTTTCCTGAATTAGAGGCTTTCAAAAAAATGCAGGTGCTCCTAAATTTTTCATGAATGAGCTGAAAATTGCTAAAACTATCTTGACTAAGCCGCATAAAAAGTTACAGAAACTGCATGTAAGGCATTTTCAAAATAGTCCTGCAAATTGTTTTTCCTCCCTACGATTCTCTTTTTTACTACCAACTGTACCAGAATTCAGCTAGGAAAACAATTATTATTGATTATCTAAATAATTCATCAGTTCTTCAGAAAATAATCCATTTAGATGGGGAAAACTTAATTTTAACTCGCATTTTATAAAATGTTTGTTGCAGGAACAGAATAAAATCAATTTAAACGTTTTTTTGAAGGAATACCGTTCATCTGGCAGGAAATGCGAAGAAGACAGCTCGTCTCAGGGCATGAATGTGCGATGTGCGTTTCAATTTCAATGATGTAATTTAAAACAAAATGAAAAATGATATTTAACTTTGACTTTTTTCAAGACAGTTCAAGAACTCGTATATCTAGCTGAACGTTGATTTGTTTACTTGGATGACAAATTTTGCAGGGTTCTAGCAAAGTAAGTAAAATTGTGTAAAAGTTTTGCACACTTTGTGCAACATTTGCTTTCCCCTAGCTACTGCGTTTAAGCCAGAGATAGCTTACTCATAATGTAATTTAAGATAAATCTCTCTTCGTCACGCTATCTTTTTTTTGGCCGGATAGATTTGTGCAATTTCTTTGTCTAATACCAATTTTAATCTTACTCTTTTGTCTCCTAGTCTCAATAGACTTAGTGTATACTGGTATTTTACGGATTAGGTTTATGGAACTTGTTCCAAAGGCAATCAACTATTTTCTTAGATTTATTGAAATTGTTCTGGTGCTGAAACTACAAGTAGTTTCAGCACTTCAAATTTGTGTCAGTGTTATTTATGGATCTTGATTGGTTAGTAGGTAATATTTTTTAGAGATAGTTTTATCAAGAATATAATTGGTTATAAATACTAGTCTTAAACTGGTTCCACTGCGTGGAAATTTCACTGATATTTTATGACATACAGTTTGCGCAAACATGAAATTTATCAAAAAATTGTCGAAAATGACTTAAATATGTTTAGCTAGCATAAATATATGACATGCAGATATTTTTTACTGCTAGCTAAACATTTTTAAGTCATTTTCGACAGTTTTTTGATAAATTTCATGTTTGCGCAAACTGTATGTCATAAAATATCAGTGAAATTTCCACGCAGTGGAACCAGTTTAAGACTAGTATTTATAACCAATTATATTCTTGATAAAACTATCTCTAAATAATATCACCTACTAACCAATCAAGATCTTTTTATTATAATAATTTTATTTTTCTAATTTTTATATTTTGAGTAATATAAAAAGTCACTTCGAAAATTGAAACAAAAATTTTTGTACTAGAAGAAATTAAGAAGCAATGTGATTAAAATCGCAACAGTATGAAGCAAAAGAAATGATTCCTGGGAGATAATGTACAGATAGATGTATTTTTTGCTATGATGGGGTGTGGGACAACAAGCCGATGGGATTTCAAGCCAAAAGGAAGTCAGTCCAAAGTTTAAACGTTTTCGAAATGCATAAATTATCTACATCAAAACGACTTCAACATTATTTTTTATTCCACTTTCCTAAACATTATTTGAAGTCTTAAGTTTTATGAAAAAAACAGTATCTGGTGAGAAAATATCGCAAAATTGAGAATTTTTTCAAAACAGACTTCAAATTAATCATATTAATCATATTGTTTAGAATGAAGCTAAAAGAAACGAAAAAAATAAGATCAACGAACTGTTACGTTTTTGAAATGCATAAAAAATTACATAAAAAAGACATTATTAACCTGAATTGTGTTTGGACAATCAGTAACTACGCGGAAAAACTAATTTAAGTCTGTAAACAAATTTCATGCAAATTCAGTAATTCTTTTCTTATCGTCTACTTTTCTGGTCGTCTCATTTAGTAAGCCTTGTTTTTGTCATCAATTCGCTTTTGGTTGTTTTGCTTACTCTGCTCACGGTTTTGATCTGATTTCTTTATATTCTGAATTATTATGAACAATTTTCTTTTTATGATTGTTTTAGAGTTTGACAAAGAGTTTTCAAAAATTCTGTTGTAGTAAGAGAATCAAATTATTGGATGACCCAGCAAACAAGACGATAGCCAGTAAAATGATAACAGTTTTGATGGGAATATAAAACAAAGCTAAGTGGAACCTGATCTAAACTACATTTTATGATTGGATAAATTAGATATTTTACCAATGTAAAGTATTTAATATTAACCAATCATGATCCATCTGACTAACAATCCACTTATTTGTAAGTGCTGAAATTACTTGTAATTTCAGCACCAGAGAGATTTGAATTTAACTTAGGAATTAGTTGGACTCTCCCGAGAACTTCAGCAGCCGCAATAAACCAGTATACCCTAGATCTATTGAGCCTAGCAGAGACTAGTTAAACAACCTGAGACTAGATAAGTATAAGAGTAAGATTAGGATCGGTATTAGACTAAGAAGTTGCACGAATCTATCCGGCCGAAAATAAGATAGCGTGACGAGCAGACGGTGTACCCTATCCGAAATTACTCTATGAGTTAACCACATCGGTCATAACTCATCTGGTGCGACCATAAGTCTCAAACAAGACCTTAGTAGCTTAGAATTAACCAATAATAGATTAGAAATTAGACAAAACATTTACAAAATGTTATACGACGATAATTTAATCGAAATGTCTCTACGACTCAATAGATCAGAGCCAATATTCCGAACGTTAACAGAACTACCCGGAATTGGAAGAAGACCTCGAACCAGAGACGACATACGATAAAGTAGAAACTTACCATATAGTTATATGATAGTTCGGCAAAAGCCAACACAAACTTTTGTATTTAGAATTTTATTAGCAATGAATTTAGATTTTCATTTGCAAACATAAAATCTTGAAGCCAATCTTCATAATAATTTCAGGCGCTAAACAAAATTATTAATATACAATAACGATTGATAAAAAGATCTCAGATCGTTTTCCTAAATTCTGCAGTAATATACAAAACATGTTTGAAAAATATTTATTGAAAAATCAAAATAAAAATTAAAAGCATGACAATAAACGGTTAGTAATCATAAATCATCCTGTTGTTCCAGCTTCATCACCTAAACATAACAGCATTCATAAGCTCACTAATATCATAAAAACACTAAATCTTTTCTTTACACAAATTTAAATCATTTTAAACTTAAATTCACTTAATTTTAAAACCAGATCATCAAGGCTTATCCTTGGATCTTAAATCATTTTCTATTTAATTAAATTTAAAACTTGATCATCAAGGCCTATCCTTGGATCAAAAATAACAATTTTTTTCTCCCCCACCCACTTAGCCAGTGTCTAACGACCTCAAACGTCGATTCACTATCCAACCTTTTCTACAAACCCAGGACTAATAGAAATTTTTGAACAAAACTAATCATTCAAATTAGGATAAACAGTGAAGAACTTCGGTTATTCATCCTTCACTTGATCCCCCCTCTTACCAGACCCAGGATAAATCTTAGACTTAGTAAGTTTAAAATAGTCTCTAACGAACTACTCGCGTTCTAATTATACCTGAACCTTGTGGATCGATTTACTATTCTCCAACCCTTGAACACAATCACTACCCTTAAGTAAGATTAAGTAAGTTAACACCTTAGCTTATACTAGCCACGAGAAAGTAAAAAATCATTCTTCGGAATCGATATACTTTTCTCTCCAACCCTGAACAAATAGACCCAGGTTAAGCTAACGAAAAAATTGTAAGGACTAACAGTCTAAGAAATAGAAATCATTTAACAACCTTTTGCATCCGTCATCCTAAACCTTATGTCATTTAAAAACCTAGGAAATAAACAAACAATCGTTTTACACAATTGTGAGATAGATAACAAAAAATACGACCTTGTAATCACACCTCATACACAAACAGTTGGATATATTAGAACAAAACGACAAACACTAAAAAAAAAATAATAACCAAACAAAGACAAATAACACGAAAAAGGTTTTCCAAAAACCGAAACGCATTTTCAGAATCAGAAACCAGCAGTTTAGACGAACTTTATAAATTAAAAGAATCAATAGATAAAAATTGCCCAATTCACGATCAATTATATTTTTCCGACTCAGAAACAACTTCAAATTCATCAAAAAGAGGAAAAAGAAGAATAAAAAAGCAATATAAACACAAACCAGTACACTTATACAACTGGAATCAACCAATTAGACACATCGATAATTACATATTAACAGTCATCAAACGAAAAAATGAGCTCAACGCACACCCCAGGTGAAGAAAGTCCAGATGATGATGATATCTTCCCCTTCATTGTAGATGCAACCAATGATAGAGGACAGCATATATTTTGCAAGAATTTACTCTTAAATTTGTTTGAACCCGGAATCAGCCCATGTAAAACAGAGTTCCCAGATGTAAAAATCAAAAGACAAATTATCGATCACTATCTGAAAGATATATGTAACTTAACACAACAATACGGAATCTACTCCATAGAATTCAGCTCACCAAACCAGAATCACAGCAAATATGTAATTCAAACAGACGACCTTGATTTAGAATTTTCAAAAATATTCTCAGAATATATAAAAAGCATACAATATCATAACTCACAAAGAGCAAACTCCATATTCACCAATGAAGTTTTTGCAATAATATATAGTTATATCTCGATATTAGAAAACGAAATCCCAATCCCAAATGTCTCACCGACAGAAACATCTAAACATATAAAAGTACGACATGAAATCACACTACTCTCTAGTTTTCTAAATATAATTCAAGAAAATTTCACTAAAGATGAAGTTTCACCACATACAAAACATGACTTACAAAACATTTTGGCATGGTTTATAATAGATTATTTCACACATAATATTGATTTAATTTCACAAGCAAGAAAAAATTTTAGACCTCAAAACTCAAACGATGATACTGCCATCACAGAACAGTCAGACTATGTTTGGGACCCCGAATGGTCTCATCCCGCATTGA